ATAAACCTCTTGTGTTGCATATTTTTGTTTGCCTGGTATTCTTTTACTTTTCTTTCTTCTTTTCTTTCTGTTTCATCAGTCTTGTAAGATCTTGCAGTACTCCACTCTAATCTTGTATTATAGTAATACACTTCTCTTTCTGTAGCGAACCTGAGGTCTATTATATGCTTATTTCAGTACAGATAAAAAGTTTGTATCAATTCTAAATGAAATCTGGTATTAAGTAATTAATAAAATTTTTTTAATATTGTTATTACTATAACTTGTTTCACATATAATATTACTTAAGACAAAAATAGTTCAATTGTTTGCACTATGATGATCATTAAGTCACATTGAAGAATCTGAAACATGATTTTTTATACAAATTTAACTGTCTTTGACTCAATATTTTCTGTTATGTTATTATTAATCAAATGCTACCAAAACTAATGCACTATTATAACCTTTTTGTTACTGAAAGAATTCAGCTATCTTGGTAAAAAGATTTCACAAATAAAAGAAAAAAGTATGCAAACCAAGAAATAAAAAATTCTAACAAATATTTCACTTATTATGCTAATTGGATTTGCTTATGCTTTATATATATTTCTTAAACACCAATTTACACTTTACAAACATTTAGTTTCATTACTAGGAAATATGGATAACATTTTTTTTAATAAGATTTAATACAATAATAAATATCTATTTTCTATGAAGTCCAGCAAACAATTTAACTAACTATCAAGAATGATTTACTTAATGCATTGACTAATCCTAAAATAGAACATTGTGATTATAAGAAAACCAAATGAATTTAATAGATTTAAGTATGGACGAATACGATTCAAATGTCAGTGATGTTGAAGTTACAAATAATAAGACGATTGAGTTAAAAGAAATATTAGCAAAGGTGCTATTTATTTATTTTGTTATTTTATAAGTTATTTAAATTATTATTTTTTTTACATATTCTTAATAATATTAATTCATAGGCGATAAAATACATTGAAAAATCGGAAACTCTTTCTCAACAGAAAAAATGGTAAATGACTTATAAGGATTTGAAGCTGCAAAACTTCGAGAAAAACATGGAATGAACGTAATTCGAATACTTTTTTTATTGGCAATAGTTTTATTTTCATTATAAAATTTAATTTATGTAACGTTAGTAAAAAAAGATATACATATGTATATAGCAAGAATTAAATAACAATTCAATTTACATGTTGCTTTTTTGCAAAAAAAAAAAAAAAATTATATCGATGAGTTTTACGTATTAGTACCAATCGCTTTTGCGTGTCGGTATTTGATTTTAAATTCCAGTATATATTTTGATCTTTGGGCGATAAATGATGTTGAATTCGTGTCGAATGATGCCGTCATTCGATATGTTGGATTTTCCAGTGTAAATGAAATCAAAAAGGTTTTGACAAACTCCTAAAAAAGGAACAGTCGATTAGCGTGAGTAAATTTGATTATCCCGGTTCCGGTTCATCATATACAATATGAATGAAATTAAGTGAAATTTATTTATTTATCTATTTATCCACATTCATTATTTGTTGCAAATACAGTAGTGATGGACCTTGATTAATAACAAATATTAATTAATTACACGTGAACCAGAGTCCTCGGATTTTTCTAGCAGCACTAGCGATATTACATATCCAAATCCAATCAAAATTGGGTTATTTTAATTCTACACATATCTATAGAATACAAAATAAAAAAATTTTGCCGAGTTTGTGCTATTTTAGATGCTAGAAAAATCCGAGGACTCTGACGTGACTGCTAACAATTGTCGATTAAAAAAATTAATAATATTAATAATAGTAATAACAGAAAATTCAGAAGTCCCATCTAGAGTTTGGAACCAGTTTTATTTTCTTATGCTAAATCCGACTAAAACCGGATTTAACATAAGAAAAATAAATCCGGTTCCAATCATTAGTTATAAGTATACATAATATATAGGTCTTTACTCAATTTGCCGTTGGAGACGTGATAAATGAGGTTCACCACAATTTATTTCACTAACTTTTGATTTTAATCAACTAACTTTAAATCAGGTATAAATTGAGCCAACCTTAATTGTCAGTAAAATGGTTGTCAGGAAAATGAAATCCATCACCAGAATGAATGAAGCTTAAGAAAATACAAGAATATGAATAGAAAAAAAAAACCAAATCATGATAACTTAGAGTGATATGGCTGGTTGTGCTCTCGATTGGATTTATCCATTACTGCCAGATTTTGGTGCCAAAAGAGGTCAATACAATTAGAATAATATTATCGTTATTCTAATTGACGTTTATGTTTATTGGTAAATCGGGAATGTCTATTGTATATCATTTTACTACGTATAGCGCGATATTACCTAGGGATTTGTACACATAATATCGGCTGAACTACGTACGGCTGATCAGACCTCTTGGTAAATGATGTATAAATCATGTGTTTGATAAGCCCGGAAAAACAAGATCTGCTTTGCGGCACTGATATTACGAAACACTCGAAATGCACAAACATCAAATTTTAAAAAATCCAGGATGGATCGAAGGTTCCTCAGGTTCGATACACTTATAATAGTTTGTTCAATTTATCAAAGTTGAACATTTGAGAACGAACTTATTTTAAAAATCCATTAAGATTGCATATATGTATATGAGTTAATACAGTAATAGAAGTACTGGTATTTATTTGATTTATTTAAGTAAAATGTTCCCGTGATTACTTAGGCGATGCTGCGGTAACTTGATTTTTTTGGAAAAATTTCAAGAAATTAGATTTAACTAAAAATTTTGATTTCTTTTTATTTCGAAAAGTTCCGTGTTTTTGACCACCATAAGAAGAAAGGTTTGATATAACTACAAATCAAATCTGTTACAAAGTCAGTTAAGAAAATCATTATAGAATTATTTAACTATTCTCAAAAATTAACGTGTTTGTTTATATCTTTCTTTTTTTATTTATTCTACGAATTAGATGTCGGAAGAACAGTATACTAGTTTGATAACTCAGCTAGAAGAACAAATCACTTTATGCACTACGATCGCAGCACATTACCTTAGATCTGGAAATAAAAATCAAGCGATTGCTTTTCTTCGCTATAAAAAAGGCTTTTCCGCTGATTTAACTTCTTTGAAATCTTACCAGAAGCATAACAAAGATATTCCACCATTCCATTATCGAGACGTCACATATAATATTGAAAATGCTTTTCTTGAATTGTCTGCTAATGATATGGAAGTTTGTATTGAAAGGGCATGGACTTTGGGAAACAAAGAGGTTAATGGAAAAGACGTTGAGGCTTATGTAAGTTGGGATATCGGTTGGCCAACCGAAGGTAGTTCAGGCGCTGGCAGTGGAAAAGGTGATACATCTGTTGCTAAGAGGAGTATGGATCCAGGTTGTAGATCTTTTTATATGATTAAATTGTTTCACACTTTATGCTTTCCGTTTATTTACTATTTTATTGTTAATATTATTTTGGCATTAGAATTTAATTATAAAAAAATAATTAGTATAGAACGAACAAAATCATTTCAACGATTTATTAGTAGAAAAAAGGCTACTTTTGAAGTATTTCATTATAGAGGATTTTTACGAAGAGCTATTTCTCTAGGAAAAGCCCAATTAAAATTAGACTCGTTAACTGGAAAAGCTGAAATTCACGAAGTTCTTGATGTACGTACGTGATACTGTTTATTATTACCAACAATTTTACAAAACTGGTGACATATTTTACCAACTTGTAATTGTATCAGCTTGTGGACAACAATCGTAGGTCAACAGGTGGTAAATTGGAAGTTCGCCTACGTTTAAGGAATCCCTTACTAAAGGCGGATATTATACAAAAGACAGAAAAGTGGTTGGTCGTTCATGGGTTCAACCTCAATAATCCTATAGCAAATACTCAAGTTTCGGTACCATCACCTGAAGTAACACCCGTTAAATCCAACTCCGTTACATCGCAATCAGATCCACTAGGATTATCGACAGTATCAGATCCTTCTACACCAATAAAACAAACACTTAATAAGTCTAGTACACCAAGTGTTAAGAAGACTTCAAGCACGGTAGCAAACACTCCATCTCAAGTTCATAACACTCCAACTCTAGTTCATAACACGGTAGCAAATACTCAAACTCAAGTTCATAACACGGTAGCAAATACTCCAACTCAAGTTCATAATACGGTAGCAAATACTCCAACTCAAGTTCATAACAAACTACCATCTCAGGTAACAACACCTGTGTCAAAACCTAATCCATCTGTGACTAATAGTAAAGATACACAAACAACAAGTATTGAAGAAAACGAGTTGGAACTTGCAGAAGATCAATTAAATAAGTACGAAAAATTATTTGTGATAATGGCATTTCTACATATATACATATATAACGAAATTTGTATAAATTTTTTCTTTTAGTGTTGATTTAATTGTATCTAGTGGCTTGCTCCAAGAAGAAATTAATATTGTGAATTCACAAATAACAACATTAGAAGCACGAGGAAAACCCATTCCTGGTGATTTGTCTGATCGAAAGTCTGCACTTGAAATTAAAACAAGTTTGATGGAAATTCAGGTGCAAACAGGTCAATTAACAATTGATAAATATTTGGAACAAGTAAAAGATAGTATTGTTAGTTTCAAAAAATTGGCTTTAACATTTAAGAAAGCTGGTAAAATTGAAGAAGCAAAGAAAGCTCTTGTAAAATGTAAAGTAATGGAAAATGAAGTAAAACAAATGGAAGAGGCTATGGCTGGTGGTGAAACAGACGATAATTAAGTAAGAATTGCCTTGCTGAACTTTAAATATATATATATATATATTCATTTCATGGTTATATAGGATTGAGCAAAATTTTTATGATAAAAACTCATAGCTTATGCATATAGTAATAACACAAACACTATTAAATTATATAATTAAATATTTACTGGTAGGACGTTCAAAAATAAATTGTCATTTTGAAAAATTACAAGAAATTCAAACAATCTTTACGTTCGTTGAAATATGTTGTTGATAAATGATTTAATATAAATAATTGTCCTTAATTACATTAATTCATGTCTGCTTATGACCAACAAAAAGATTTTTTTATTTCATCAAATCCTAAATAACTTCGTTGATTATTATGTCTTTCATGTATTTCAATCTTTTCACTTTCCAGGAATTTTTTCCCTATGATCATTAACCAAGGATATCCAAGAAGTTCAGCATCTTTCATGCGATATCCAAATGATAAATTCATACGATCATCAATCAAGACTTCCTCATTCAATCCATCACATTCAGAAGTTAGAAAATCATATAAAGACCGAGTTTTTTTTGTAATCTCTGGCTCATCTCCACTTGGAATGATACACACACGGTATGGCGCGATTGATGATGGCCATATTATTCCTTTTGAGTCATGTGACGATTCGACAACTGCAGCGATTATTCGTGAAATACCTATACCATAACATCCCATTTGGATTGATAATAATTCCCCTTTATATCGTGGATTTTCAGGTGCAAATGTAGCTTTTAGTGGTTCCGAATACTTTGTTCCTAAAAGAAATGTATGTCCAACTTCTATTGCACGATTACTTGTAAGTGGATGAAAATTAACTGAATCGTGTGATGTAATGGAATTTTTATAACAAACAGGGCATCCATCATTGACTTTGACGTTGTGAATATCTCTATTATGTATCTTATGAACACATTCTTCATTAGACGTATATCCACATCGAATGCATGATAAAATCAAATCTTCTCCGGCTAAAATAAAGACTTGGTTAACAAAATATTAAATATTATATAGCAAGAAAAAAAAAAAAAAATAGTTCACCAGGTGACAAAAAATGAAATTCATGTGATTTTGTTCCACCGATATTGCCAGTGTCAGCTTCAGCCTATATACCTATACTTTAATTCTTTATGATTTTTTTTTTTATTTTTAATCCGATTTACAAAGATAAAATGCTTAATACTGACGATAACGAACGGTAACCCAATTCGAGTAAATATCTTTTTATATGCCTCATTAACTTCCTCATAGGTTTTTAATGCTGCTTCTTCAGTAACGTCAAATGTATATAAATCTTTCATAATAAATTCTCGTCCACGAAGTAAACCTGCACGTGGTCGCATTTCGTCACGAAATTTTTTACCTATAATAAAGATTGACTGATTCAATTTGAATTTCAAACATTAACATCGTATATATCTTAATATTACCCGTTTGATATAATCGTAATGGAAGTTGTCTATAAGAAAAAACGTCACTTGCAATCAGTTGTGTAATTTCTTCTTCATGCGTTGGAGCTAGACAAAAGTCAGAAGCCTTACGATCCTTAAGCTTAAATAACTATCGCAATTTTATTAAGGAAAAAAAAAAAATTTATACCAATCAATATCCTTAAAGCATTCAATGTAAATAATATATAATTTTACATCTTTAATAAGGGATCAGAAGTTAGAATTTGATTTCAATTCCTTGAACAAACCTCACTTCCGGTAGTATTCCACCTCCCTGTCTTCTTCCACATATTGGCACTCAATAAAACTGGAAGTGATAACTTCTGTGCGCCTTATTTTGTATAGAAATTAAACAATAATCCATTTTTTGCTATCAAAAAATAATAATGATCATAATAATACTATCTCAAGTATACCAATGTTTCTCATTTCCTGATCTATGATCTTTTCAATTTTTTCTAGAGAACGTAATGCAAAAGGTAACAAAGAATAGACGCCCGATGATGACTAATGTTAACAGAAAAGAACAATTTCTTAAAATAAAGATCACTAAAACTTAGAATTGTAATCCAACAGTCTATTCGATACATATACCTGCCTTATAAGACCGGCTCGAATCATTAATTGATGACCTTTTCCTTTAGCAGCAACATTATTTTCTGTCGTTGATTCTTCTCTCTTGTCTTTTATGGTTTCTGGAGCGATATGGTCATTTGTAACTGGAAGGAAGACTTTGGATAGACATGTTCTATTATCATAATTCTATTTTTAAGAACAAAAAAAAAAAAAAAATTTTTTTTTTTAGATATATGTTATGAAAATTTATGAGGCATTGAAAAGGGTGTATAGAGACGCACGATGGAACTAAAGCTGAGGCAATGTTTTGGTGCATATTTTAACCTTGTTAAAGATGTTCTGAACATCGTTAAAAGAATAACGATCAAATTATCGTTATTGATTTTCGGATCATATTATGCTGATTATCGTTATCTAACGTTAATGCTAAGGTTATTGTGTACAACATATAATGATTCACCATGATTTGCTGTGCTTCATGGAACATCAAGTTAAATAATTTTCAAGTTCGCTATTTTATAACGATAATTATATAAACAAAAAAAAAAGAAGTCAATAAAACGATCATCCACGATCAACAGACTCAGATTAAATAAATTTATTATGTTTTGTAAAATTTGTAACCTCGGATCTTTCTTATTTATCCTTACTCATAATTCGAAATAATTATATTAGTACTCTTCAATAATTCGACAATTACCATCTGACTTTAATCAAAAACTTCAGTACATAAGCGGGCCAAGATTTGGTTCTATATAGTTGAAATAATAATTTTGATGAAATTAATTTATCGATGTTTTCGGAAATCTATAGTCTCAAATTATGCGATTAAATAATTGTACTTTTTTTAAAAAATGCTAAAACTTTTTATACGATTGATAATTGAAAAAACTAATCAAGTTTATAAAAGCTTAAAATTAAAATAAATTACCGTATCAACTTTAAAAGCAAAAATCACACCAATGCCAAAACACATGGTAAATTCTAACGAAGAAATTACATGATGAAATACACTAACAACGATCCAATAATAACGACAACAAAAGTACAAAGATCTCCATCAGTAACGACGCCACTATAAAACGACGAAAGTTTGAAATCCCCATCGACGACAACATCAGAAACGACGAAAGTTCGAAACAATGAAAATTTGCCATTTTCACCGAAACGACGAAATTACATCAACGAAAACACAACAAATGATGACTTCAACAACTCCAATAATGACAACAGCAACTCGACTTCAACGGTGACCAAACTAGCAAACAAAACTGTTATAGAAATAGTATTTAAAAAAACTGATTAGTAAAAAAAAAAAAAATTTAACAATATAAACAATATATATATATGTTATAAACTTTGATACCCGAGTTACGACCAATATAGAATTTTATTAACAGGACCGATAGATTGTGTAATCTATTATAAGTGAATAAAAAAAAAGAATAAATATCAAAACACGAAATTATCAATAATAAATACAAAACTAAATATAATAAACCATTTACCTTAAGGAATACGTACTTAGTTTCAGCTAAACAATTAGCTTACTATTCCTAGACATCGCGTAGAGGTGTATCCTAACACTAGGTTTATAACAACCCGTAGTTGTATTCTATAAGGACGTACGCAATAAATAAAATGAATTACGTTGTCCAATGTCATAAAATATTAACCAAAATCCAGATAAACGAGTGCAAATTATCTAAGAAAGTTAGAGTTTAGCATATTGTATACTTAAGTTAAAAGAACTAACCGTAAAAAAGGCCGCCGTTAACAATCTTAACCGTAAAAACGGCCGCCGTTGACAGTTTTAACCGTAAAAAAGGCCGCCGTTAGCAGTCTTAACTGCTCAACTTTATATATTTTAAGAAAAAACGTAACAATTAGTATTAAGCAGACCTTAAATAGGAAGACCAAAAAAGCTTACGAAAAAAAATTTATTTTAAAGAAACAATAAATATAAAATATTATCATCTAAACTAAAATTTTTTCGATAATTGTCTGTAAAAAATTTACCTTTGATTCATAGTAATATGCAGTAGTGGATTTAATATCATATTAAAAATTAAAAAAAAAGATATTCTAATATCTTTATTAACATGCTTGTTTTGATAAACGTGTATTGTTGACGATTTCGATTATTAGTCACGCGTTTCTGCATCCTTAAACCGGTTTGGTTAGCAGGTGAAAATGTACCTAAAAATAGAAACACGTTACATAATTCATGATAATCGTAATTTATACATTTTTAAAGTTTCACGATGCTTTTGTCTCTACGTATGAAAGATGTCAAGCTTACTAAGCGAACTTGAAGTTTTCGTGCCATATTTTAACAATGTCGGTAAAATCTCTACAACTTTTATATGACAGATATTATATGTAGGAGCAAGTAATTGCGAAACACCAAACTACAAATTCTGAACGTTTGGGTAATAAAAGGGTAATGTGCGTTAGAGTGTTAGTTTGCACGAACTTTTATTTAAATCTTCATAAATGAACCTTTTAAAAGTTCAAAGCAAATATATGTACGTATTAATTAACAATAAAAAAAAAATACATATATTTTTCTCGTACACCTTCTTGAGATAGAAATAAGAATGCATACGCATAAAACTATTACAGTAGCATAAGTGTCGAGTATTAGAGACTATGTAATGTTGAATATTAAAGATTATATAGTATGTGCATATACGTCTGATCCTGGATTATATTTGATATATAGAATTAGACATCAATTACTGATTTTTCTATATATTGTAATTATTTGAAGTTTGTTTATTATTTAATCAATAAATGAAATAAAAATATACTTGCTTACTTGGTGGTAAAATATGGAATTAAATTCGTTCATAGCATTAATTTTCTTCGTTATGCATTTTTTTATTCTTTTAAAACTTGTGATTTGATTGGCTAATTATCCACCTGTTGGTTTGGTTGCGGGAATTCAATGTAGATTTACACGTGATTATCAACCAGTCGAATTTACGCTTTATTTTAGAAAATGAGAAAAAACATTTGTGGAGCAGAATTATTGTAAATTTGGAATCCACTTAGGTTGAAATTCCAAATGTAGCCCAAGTTGATACGAAATTTAAAGCGACTTAAGTTGATTCTAAATTTGATACTGTAATTTTAATACAGGAATAGTAAAATAAGTTAATTTTAATTCGGGTATTGATAAGTTTTTAATATTTCTTCAACGTTCATAAGGCCACTCTAAATTGATTCATCACTTAATACAGCATTAAATAGTTCATAAGTGTAGAGGAAGGAGGTATAAAAAATACATAAATTAAAAAAATATAGCAATTCTATTGCTTGTAAAAAATATGTAATATAATACTGCAATTTGATTAGTTAATGTGATGAGTATTTTTTTCATCGATTTTTGAAAAATAGAGAGAGATTATGTTGTTATAAACGAAGAATTAGATTAATCCAGTCTAAGTATTATACAACCTTCTTCATAAGTAGGTAATATTAAAAACGTATGCAACAAAAATTTGTAAATGTAAAAAAAATAAAGTACACTGTGGGAATAAATTATAGATGTAAAAACTTTATTGTTATATAAGCTTTTAAATTTAATTAAGTTGCGTTATAAATGTTGTAAATGGAAACGGAATTTAAGTGAATTTGGAATTTCCTAGTTAAATTAAAGTTAGGATCAAGGCACAAAACTTATTGAAAATGCCGAAGATTTCCGTTTACGTAAGACAATTTGACTTGGGACGGAAGATTTCCGTTATTTATAATAACGACTTTCGATTGTTGGTTTGTAAGTTCCGGTTAGGAAAAAAAGCATATTATATCACCCGGAAATTTTGTGCACTGGTTAAAATCAACCCTGAAATACTAATTATAAATAATCCACTTAACTTACAACATATATACTGAACATATTCTTGAACTTTTATACAATTATCACAAAAACAATTGTAAATTTGCAAATACCGTAATTTTAAAGCGAGCACGTTTATTAATAAATTATAAAAATTTACAATTTAGAACGAGTTTTTAATTATCTGATTAATTAATCTAAAATCAATGTCATAAAATCTTTATTTTGAAATTATTACAAAAAAAAAACTTTAATTTATATTTTTTTTAACTTTAATATGCTGGATTAATAATGTGATGCAAGTTAGTCATTAAACAATCGTTCAATGTCCAAGTCATAGCACGTGAAGGTTTAAACTAAATTACATAATGACACGAGCGATACGGCGAGTCAGTCGCTTGTCGATGGGATATGTCGTGTAACATACGAACGGCTTAGTCGAAAGGAGGCGGTTAGATTTGGCGAGCGGTGTGTTTATAATAGTAAGTTTTACAATGTAGCGAAGGCAGAGAATTATTAGGGTCAAACTTAATTACAAGCACGAACTACCGTTCGTGTAGGGCTCGAAACCTTTATTATATACTTTTCGTTTACATAAGGCATGCTATACATTCTATTCGTGATATCGCACTTATATCCTTTATCCCACATATACTAATTATAATGTTTATATCAATAATACTGATTATATTGTTTATACTAATTATTATTGTCCGGAGCGTAGCGAAGGACTTTCTATAGATAACCAAGCACCAAAAAATGTCTTGGGTTCCGCTCACGTGATATCTCTCCAATCAGATCGACACGGATCAGCCTAACAAAATGAAAAATCCCGTAAAATTAAAAGCTTCGGACACTAACAGCACCTGTTTTTCTAGTAATTATATACTGTATTCCACTGATTCCCCTTATTACATTGATATCTATTATCAACCAGATACAGCGAATACAGCGTATACTGCCAATAAACCCATTTTAGGTAGGTGATCGACATAGCTGTTCTGCGCCACTTCGATTCCTCCTTCCGGAATTACAGTCCTGCGGTTCACAATAAAAAAACCTTTCACATGATCTCTTATTACGATGTAACTCTACTAGTTTTCGAAAATAATTAATCGAAAACAGGCTATAAAAAGGAAAAACTTTGCGATATTCGACAGTTTTCCAAGAACTTTCTCAAGAAATTTTATGCATAAAAATAGTAGAGAAGCTTAGAGTTTAGTTTAAACTACTAAGTTCAAAAGCCCTATTCATGTCGAAAGAAGTACATCACTCGAAGAATTTAGTCGCAAAGTTTAAAAAAAAAAATCTTTAAGGGGTAGTTTGTAAAGTGAAAGAGAACACTTAACAAACGAAAAGTTAAAAGAGTAATTACATGGGATGACCGATTCACCCAAAGGTGTGTATGTACAAAGAATAAAAATAATAAAAAATCGAGATGAGAAAAATTAGGATATATATTAGCAGATAAACAATGCATATTATTGGTTGATTATTAAGGGGTTGCGGTACTAAGAAATCTAAACAAACATATGATAATCAACCAATCAAATTTATTAAAAAATATGCAAAGATATTATCGACGAAACTTTACTTAGTGTTTGTAGTCGATAAAATTTTTATAAACTAGTCGAGTCGATAGTTTTAATTGAGCTTAGTCTGCTTAGTCGACTATTATCATATGCAATATAACAAATAAGCACTTACAGCTTTTTAGCTAATCGATATTATATAACATCATAAAATTTTAAACTAAATGAATCATTTAGAGCAATTTTTAAAATATTTAAACAATTTACCATATTTGCATATTCTTAATGCAAATACACTGTCTAAATTGGCATCTAATAATTTATTTAAATATTTATATTTACCCACCATACGATAAGTTATCCGCAATTTCTTAATGCAAAAACATTATATGGTTTGGTTTTTAATGATTAATTTAAATCTTCACGTCTTCTTAAAAAAGATATATTATTCAGATCTATTTACTTAAATCTAAAAGTAAATCTTCACTACATTTTAAGGTATTGGTATTATCTGATCCATCTGATCCAATAGTTAATGATTTCAAGTAATTCTGTATATCTGTTTATCATGCGATAAGTTTCTCCACGATTTCTTCGTGTGTTTGTACTATTTGAATCGATTTTTAATGATTCATTTGAATCTGTTAGCAAATCATCATATTATTTATCATATAAGATAAATTTGTATAATATGAAGTACATACACTTATATCAATATGATTATTAGAGTTACTTTGATCCAAGATCCATAGCAATTGAGTTTTAATGGCCCAAACAAATATTTATTCATGCTAATACTAATACGCCGTTTTTACGCTAGTGAATATTAAGAGTCGACTAAGTCAATATTTTAGAAAATCGACAGACTTAATCGACTAAGTCGGCTAAATCATATAGACTTGAAACAGACACTTTGCGAACACATTTGAGAGTTTAAGGAATACAATCAAATATTTCAATAATGAATTTAAAAAATTACTATGTTATCTAACCCATTGCAATTTTAAACCGAACTAGTGTAAAATTATAAATTTTTGAATTCGTTATATCCAAAGTCAACTGTACTATCTAATTCTAATCGTGCCGGATTTGTATCAAAGTTCATATGAGTCATTCGATGATCTTGCGGTGAGCGTCTTTCGATTGCTGTGCTTGTATTTACTGGGTCACGTAAAACCTTAATACAAAAATCAAAAGTCTTTAATGTTATAAAGGTTTTACGTCGATTATTGGTTGATTTGTTACTAAGATATTTGGAAAGCAATTCTTCAAACACATTATGGGCAAAAATGAATAATCTTGAAATTGAACAATGAAATAAAATAATAATAATAAATTTATATATTTGACGATTTATCGTTATTATGTAAATTATTTAACTATCGTTACGTCAATTGATTACACATTAATATATAGCCTACTCATTATTAGTATTTGCCCTAACCATAACTAAAAAAAATCATCTTATATTGCGGCTATATAAAGCCGGAAGCTACGTAAACAAATTTGGTTAGAAAAAAAAATTAAGGTGAGGCTTTTTTTTCCTTTACATATTTTTAATAATTCATTTCTAAGCTAACTTAATTTACCTAGCTAGAAATAATGTTTGTACGTACGATTTTTTGCTTGTGTAATTTTACGTTTTTAAAAGTTATGTTTGAGTACTTTTTAGTAAACCGATTAGATAGAACACGACATCTAAATTACGAATATACTCAGTCACGTACAAGATCATATAAAGTGGTGCTTAAAATATTAACTGAATGAAGGTAAAATAGTGGTAGCAGAAAATTAATCAATGTTAAGTTTTTTGTTCGTTGATTTGGTCAATCTCTGTCCATGAATACCACTATTCTATTCTACTGTGACACCAGAATACAAAATTTAGTAAAAAATATAACCATTCATACCGATACTCAAATATTTAATAATTTTAATTATGTATGGGTATTATATGCCGCTTATCTAATTTTTTTTTAATTAGTGTCTTAAAGCGCCAACATATTGTTCATTTAAACATTCAACCTCAAGACGGCATTTTTTTGAGTCTATATCACTTTCCTAACATTTATTTCCCTGCCAATCACTTTCCCGGAAGTATTTCCTAATTATCATTTTCTTCATTTTCTCCACATATCCATTTCTATGATAACCGCTTCCCGATCAGAAGTTCCTTATCCAATTGGCATCTTTGAGGTCCTGAAGCAGATATATATCCTAATCGTTTAACTGTTAAATCTTGTTAATCGCTTAATTTAGACAGTCCATGGTCAATATAATTCGACCTAGAGCTATTGATAAATTTTTAAGCGGTTAAACCTTAATGTTAAACGACATATCTCAAGGCTTGATTCATAATATTCCGTCGCTCAATTAAAGAAAAACACATCATGCCTTTCCTATCCCCATTGTTAAGATTGTTTGATTTATGAAATAATATTGTATCAACAAACATACTATTCATTCACTTTATACTGTTCTATAAAACATAATAACAACCATTAATAGCTACAGTTAAATAACTTATGATTTGCGCATAGTAAATAATTGTAACTACTAAAAATAGCCTAACCGAGAATATTTGTTTAAAATACAAAATGAAGGGAGTTATATAAGTTGTGGTAATTTATGACTCCATAAATAATATAAATGATTAAATTAATGTGATTAAAATGGTTCTCAGAACCTTCAAGTCAAAGTTTGAATTGACTATTATATAAATATAGTGGGATCAGGATCAGAAGATAAAGAGTAGGTGAAGAGCTTGATCAAGAACAAAAAACTATTCATATAAAACGATTTCAAATTTGGTTACCTTTGCTCCCTTCTATAAATACTTAGTGTATACTCACCTCAAATAAAAAGTATATAGTATTAATTAAACCAGTGTTAAATCAGTATGGTATTATTAATTAAACTAGTGTTAAATCAGTAAATGACATTAATTAATAAAAATTACATTCTCATTTTACATGAAAGCAGTACGTAGTGTTAATAAAAAAATAGTACTAAACGTTAAATAATGTTATTTAATTAAAGCGATCAGTTGATCATGATCGACAAATTCTTCCTATTAAACTGTTCTCGTGCTCTAACAAAAGTAACGATAACGATAACTACGTACAAAATTTTAGAAAATTTCTGTCACGTGGATAATATCGTATTGAGTATATAACGACAAGTTCCGAGTTTTAGTTCAGGTAATTTCGAATTGATTATACTTAGATCATTAAATCGCGTAACACTCTGATCAATTTCATTTATGATGTCTTTAGATTTTAAACAGTTAACGTTAATAAATGTCAACTAAAGAAACTCTCGAGATTAGCCCTAACGAACCTGCAAGTGATAACGAAGCAACACAACCGACTGAAGACCAGTATTATGGTCGTAGTACGAGTGACAAGTTGGACTATGCAAAATCACTACTTGGTGACGTGGCTGTAATTGGTGAAGTAGTTAAGCCTTATGCGCCTTTAATCAGCTCACTTACTGATTCAATCAGAAGAATTTATAATTCTTATGATTACGCACAATATAATAAAAGAATTAGCAATGTCTTACTTGATCGAGTTGATTGCGTTGGTGCTCCTATAAAGGCTTTGAAAAGACGAAAAGACAAAATTGAATCGAATTTCCTTAACCAAAATTATTACAATGCTTTAATTCGTCTTCTTGCTGTCTTGAAGAAAACTCAACAATTCATCACTGATGTGTCATCTCTATGGAGCTTACGTAAATTTCCTACAACAAAAAGTATCAAAGAACGGTTTGATCGCATTTCAAAAGAATTCGATGATGTTATTATGGACTTAAATCTTGAAGTACCTCAAGATAGAGAGTTACAAAAGAAAAAAGATGCTCAAGCTCTACAAGCAGATATTACAATATTAAATGAGGTAATTAATATAACATTGTTTATATAAAATTTTAATGAGGTTTAACCTTTATTTAGTTTTATTCTTATTATTATTACTCGCTTAGTTCCTTGAAAAAATCGGGAGTCCTGTAACTACTTCAAAGAAGCAGATTAGTCCTATTTTTGAAGAAATAATATTGATTAAATCTCATATAAATGAAAATAATGGAAACAATGAAATTAAAATAACACAAATACCACCCGTTGAACTGATCAACAACACTCGTCCCAAGGCTAATGATCAATACGGAAATGTTTTAAAAAGATTATGGCAGACTTCAGGGAAACTTGTCGCTTGTAAACGATTTGATACTCAACAAACTCAGAAATTTCAAGAACAACTTGTTCTCCTGAAAAAATTAAATAATTGTTCGAGTATCATCAAATTTCATGGACTTTCAACTTTAGAATGGGGTTCTGCTCAATGTACAGTTATAGTTTATGAATGGGCCGAACGAGGAAATTTGAAAACATTGTATGAAAAATTCTCTATTGATTGGCCCTCCAAATTGGATATTTCTGTTGGTATTTGTCGTGGACTTCTTTTTTTACATGGATGTGATATTATGCATCATGATGTTCGATGTGAAAATATTCTGGTAAGTTTCTAATTAATGATTAATTAAATAAAAAAAATTGTTGATTTTTTTTCCTTCTCAAATTATTTGCAGATTACCGAAAATTTGGAGCCTAAGATATCAAATTTTAGATTGTGTCGACCAATACACGACGATAAAGAATTTAGAAATGTATCTGATCCTCCTGAACATTGGATGGCTCCTGAACAATTTCGAAATGATAAAAAAGTAGGATATTATACATATAAATGTGATGTGTTCAGGTAATTTGGTCTCATTAAATCATTCATTTCAAATCATTCATTTCATCACATTATATTTATTAATATTCAAATTTTGATTTAATACAGTTTTGGTATGTTATTATGGGAATTTGCATTTGAGAGACTTTCATACAAAGAATGGAGTGAAGAAAAAATAGCAAGGCATGTTTTGGCTGGAAATAGAGAAAGAATTGATCAATATTTGACTGGCTCCCAGCAAGAATTTACTAAAATTATTCGTGCTGGTAAGGAATTGTATTATTTATACTTTTAACTATTATTTCATATACTAATTTTATGAATTTGCTTTTTATGATTGTTAAGCATGGCAAGATGATCCAGCGCTCCGTCCAGGGCTGTACAAGATGTTTTTGAAGCTAGAGGCATTACGTGTTGAAAATCCAAAGGATAAATCAATTACCACATTGAATCCCAAAAAATATGATGATAATGATGAAGTCATTAATGTTTTTACTGAAGATGAAACTCAGATTACTGATGTGAATGAACCTGAATGCATAGATATTATTGATGAACTTGTACCAAGCATTAAACCATTTCTTCGTTTATCTGAGGCAGAACTACCGAATAATTGATTGTGAAGGCAATTAATTGCAATTATTTGACCTCAATTAATTGCAATTATTTGACCTCAATTAATTGATTGATGGCGCAGTCACAATTAATCAATTCTTTGCAATCTTTGTCACAGTTTGTAAATGTGACAACTTTCTGATCTTTGACGTCAAAATTATAAAAAAATATATATATCGATATGATTAAATAAAGAAATCAAGCAATCAAGTGATTTCTTTTTTTAAAAAAAAACACGTATTGTGCAGTCACATCAAATATTCTATTATAAACTTAAAATTGCAAAACTTTTTATCTAAAAGTTCAAATACAAAATACTATTTATATTTAAGTAACTTAAAATATAAAAATTTCAACATTAAGGTCATATAAATTTAATAATTGGTTCTTATAACTGGCCAGGTCAAATTTTACAAAAAAAAATTTTTAAGTATGTTTACTGTTAGGAAGGATGTTAAAATTTTAACTTATTTTATTATGAAATTTTAAAATTTCGAGGTGTTTTGTTTAGTGTTTAACCCGGGTGACCCGTCGGGCTGATTCAGGTGAACTGACAGGTATTTTCAGATATAGACAGACTTTCTTGTGATTGGTCAAGTTTATTCAATTGAATTTATATAGTTTAAAGTACTTTTACAATCTCTAATAGCATTTTTTTCAATCTAAGAATCAGTTAAAATACTTACAAAGATTTTTTGCAAAGAAAGTTTTAAATATTTTGTGTATTTTTAGGATTTATTATATTTAATTGATAATCCGCCAATAAATGAGAACGTGATTTTAGTACTACATCGGGGGATGATCCTTATATACTAGCTCAAACGCTAAAAATTCATTTATAAGAGAAAACTTCTTAGTTACAAGAAATTTATAAACAAATTTTAAAGACAAAACAAAAATATCTACTAGTTTATTTCAAGCCCTGTTGTTTTTTTATTTAGTTTGGTTTTTTAAACTTTTAAATGGTGGAAAGGCAGATTTAGAATATAAATATATATTTATTTTATATAGCTATACTACAATTTTGGAATATGGCTCATCAAATAATGAAGGCAGTTCTTTGACTTGATAGCTTGGCTTTACTAAAAAGTTGACTTAAAAGTAACAACAATTATATATACTGAAGCTATGAATAATCATGGTATATTTATATGGATTTATATCATTTCGCTGCATTTCACCAACAATAGCTTAATTCACCAACAATTAATTTATAGAAAAATCATTTAGCCAATGATTAATTAACAGACAAATATTTCATGAACAGTTTATTTCACTAACAGCTCATTTCACTGGCAAGTTTTTTATAAATTGCACTAACCTTAACTCTAATTCTAAATCTGACTCTTTAATAGTTACTTTGTTGGTAAAATAAACTTGTCTGTAAATTAATCATTAATAAAAAAGCTTGCCTATAAATTAATTAGCAGTAAGTTAAGCTGTAAATGAAGTTATTGTTGGTGAAATGAACAGCATCAGGTATAGATATACATACATACTTTGGGTTGGTAAATGGATAATATTGTCAATATTAATCATATAACTTTTATTTTTTATTTGGTATTATTAGGTTTTTACAAAAATTACTTATGTGATTTCTGAATTTTTGAAGGCTATAAAAACTATGTTCTACAATTGATGCTTGAGCTGAAATTGGTATATGGAATAGTATAATAAATCTACTTTCTGATAACAGACTTCATTTGTACTTCTCTTGTGTCTGTTGCCAATGGTTCTTTAAAGTTAGACAGGTATGGGCTCAGGTCCAGTCCTTAGGTTCATACCTGCCTGATTTTAAAGGTTTACTATTGGCAATAGATACAAGAAAAGTACAAATAGAGTTTGTTATCAGAAAGTGAATTTATCATACTATTTTACATACTGATTTTGGCTCAAGTATTAATTGTGAAACACAGTTATTATAGCTTTCAAAAATTCAGAAATCATACAGGTAATTTTTGTGGAGACCTAGGTATTGTATACATTTTTGTTATAATGATAGATTACTTGCTCAAAGGTAAGTTTGCTTTATAACAAGTAGGTAGTTGTACTTCATCTAATTAATCTTTTTTTTTTATATACTATTTTCTGGTCTTATTGTAATATTACAGACCAGAATAATACAATAAACCAGATTTCTAAGAAATGATTTTAGGTATTTTAGAGGAATGCTATGTGCTACATCATAGTGATCAATAGAATATGGTATTTTAAAGCTATTCCAGCAATGGAGGTAAAAGAGATTACTTTAAAAGAAAGTGAAAGTATTATAATATTATTAGAAGTATAGTAATTATCTTTGTAACAAATTATATAATTGTGTAAGTTGTAAATAAAGCTAATTAATCTGTTATTTAATAGTAAAATTTGCTTATTAAATCATAAAAAATATATATACTCTTTCATAATAAATTACTTTATTTATCTATCAGCAACTAAGACATAAACAGAACACCTTCAAGTCTATCATATATTTTTGTTATTTTACTTCTCTTCTCTACAATATTTGTTATACTATTTATTATTTAAATTCCAAACTAGTGCTCCTAGGTCCAGTTTGAGTTTGGTCTAGTCTGGTTCAATCTGAATACAAAAACATATTAGGATGGTATATTTTCTTTTATTTTTCCTGAAATTTGAAGAGAAGATGCTTGTTTTTAGTTATTTTCATCAAAAAACTGGAATTAAGCATCTTCTCTTCAAATTTTAGAAAATATAAAGAAAATATATCACTCTAATGTGTTTTTGTGTGCTGAACAAGTTTACTTAGAGCATAAAGTCAGGTTCAAATAGTAAAATATTGAGAATTATAATATTTTTAATTATTTTATTAATAAAATTATCAAAACTGTTATAATTCTTAAAATTTTACTAATTGAATATATTTTTATGCTCTAAGCAAACTTGTTTAGTATCAAAAATTATATTTATATATATTTGGATTCAAACTAGTTTTAAACATCAAACCAGACCCAAACCAGACCCAGACCAGATTCAAACTTGATTAAAAGTTTGAAATAAAAAGTTTGAATCTGGTTTGAAAATCAAACTGAACTCAAACTTGACAAAAGTCTGGTTCAGTCTAGTCTGATAAGAGCACTATTTCAAACCAATTTCTTGTATATTTCACTATTCTTTATTAATTTAGGCATCAGATATTTGTCACTTCATGCTTTAAACATAATATTAATTTTTGTTCAAATTTTTATTTTAGGTTTTATTTTTAATTTTAGACAAGAATAATCAAATTACAAAAAGCTTTGTATAATTTCTTTTCATAGATTAACATCTTATATATTTATCAATTATTGCTAATTGTTAATATTTATTATATTATTATTACTATTTATGCATTATGATTACATTATAATATAATATCAATTTAGTTTTTAGTTCTAGGAAGTTAATACATATTCAGTAACTTGAAATACTAAATTTTTAGTTTCTTTTGAATTTCAAGTCTGATACATTGCTACATATCTGACTAATAATCTAAAATTAGTGAAACAATCTAATGTACAATAAGCACTTGATTAAATATATGTTTTTATCAAGAATAATAAGATTCATAAATAATTGATAACTGAAATAAAAATTTTGTTGACCAACCAAATTTCAGATCAGGTGTAATAAATAATGTAAAATACAAAAAAAAAAGAAAAAAAAATTATACAACTAAAAATTTAGCTTATGAAATTGCCTATTGTGTATTAAGAAAAATTTTTATTACAAAGTTTGATATATGAAATGCTTTCGATTTTTATCTAATAGTAAGATACTGTCTCTTAGGAATTTTTAATATGAAATAATTAAAATTTTTTGAGTAGTGACTAGTCGAATAAGATTCAAATCAATAAAAAGCAATTGAGTATTAAAATATAACATATCTTTAATATTTATAATTGATATATATCTAATAAAACTGTTAAAACTAAATTATGCATAAGCTATCATATTACAAAGAATTGATATCTTAAGACAATTTAAGATTAAATTTTCATAATATAATCAATACAGTTTAACCTTTTTTGTTGTTACATTTGAATAATATTCAAAGTTCTCATGATTATTGCTTAGTATAAAATCTTTTTTACATCTATAACCTAACTTTTTATTATAACTTTGACAAGTTTTTCTATTATTATATATTTGAATTGTACTGTTATTACTATCTTGCATGAGTTTAGAATTAATACACCTTTTAGCAGCTACCTCTTATTTTAAACTTGTTGCATAGACTGCAATCCAATTTTCAACTTGCTTTATATTTGGCATCTCTTTGTAAGTAATTTCATTTTTTTTCTACTAGTCTTTCTAGTTCTTTTATCATTTCTGTAACTGTTATATGATCTGTTTTGTTTATATTATCAGCCAAAAAAAATCTTTCAAAATATTGTCTAAACTTTGGTGTCATTCGTTTTTCTACTACACCTTTTCCTAGTTTCTGATATCTTTTTAAAGCTCATTCTAATAGTAAAGAAAATGTTTCATCAACTGTATTACTAATCAAACATTCTATAGTTTCTAAAATATTATATTATATTAGTAAAGAATTTGATAATTTGTGATTAATTTTTAAAATTATCTTCAATATTTTGTATTGAATTTGAGCATAAAATGATTTAAAGTATAAAATAATTTAGTTTTGTTAAAAATTTTAATTTTACAAAATAATAGATATATTATTAGAATATCTGTTTTATATATGATTAGAATTATTCAAGATTTTGGTAAATAAGAATAGGTTAACACTTCAGATTTTAGTTTATAAATTGGTTGTTTAACTAGTTTTATAATATCTGATGATATGTATATTTTCTATTCTTCAATATTAGGAAGCATCTGAGCTTTTATAAATCCTGCCAAATCATCTTTAATTGGCCATTGCCAATGAAAATAATTTGTAATTTCTTTCATAGTTTTGATTTGAACATGGTTTTTTTTTAGTTCAAGATGTGCAATATTAGTTCTTGCTAAATTTTGTATAGCTTCTACAATTTTTTTACCAGAATCCAGATTATATCTAACTCATATATATTGTACAATAGCATGTGATATCTACTAATATAGCAGTTAATATTTGTTATTATTTTACAATAATCAACTAGTTAATTAGCTTACTGCAGCATAATAAGAGTCTACTAATAATTTGGCCACCTCAGGTTCAAAAAAATACTAACTATAAATTTCAATAAAATATCACTAATACTAGTTAGCAACCACTGTTATCATTTCTAAGTTATGATAATATTCTTCATTGTCTGAAAATATTTTTATCTATTTAGGTTTAAGATTAAATGCTTCAAAAACTGAATCAAAAAAAGATGCAGTAAACTATGCATTCTGTTTGTATTTAATAACCAATAGTCAAAAACTTGTATTTTAGCAGTATTATCATTTTTTTTGATAAATACCAGAATAGAATATAATGCATATCTTTTTTTTCAAAAAATTGACTTTTTGTTTCCTGTATTCTTTTTTCTAATATTTTCATTTTGTAATCTGCTATAATTAAAGCATCTTTTTCATCTAGTTTTGCTAATTTAGCTTTAAATTAACTATTTAAATAAGCTTTTCATACTTGATGTACAAGAAAATAAGTAAGTTTTTTCTTATAGTTTGCTATTGTTTGATGATATTTTTGTGATAATATTTGTACTAACTGTTTAAATATTAAAAAAAATTGTCACACTTTGCACATCAAGTATTATGCAACTCAGAACACTAATTGAATACATATAATAAGCAATGATTAATATATTGTATATGACTAGTAGTTCTATCAAGATGTATAATAAGTTCTAATTCAAATTTTTGATACATATAATAGCATAATGATTCTAAATCACCAATTAGTTTATTCTAAAAAAAAAGTAAAAAATTATAATTTGTATATAATTTAATATATATATATTATATATGTACTTAAAGTACTAATTCTTGAATATTTGCTTTAATTAGTTGAATTAAACTATCAAAAACTTCATATTCATATTCATTATATATATTACATAGTTCTTCAAGATCTTTTTGATACATATAATAACTATAAGCAAGGCATGTCATAAATGATGTCCTTTTAATTTTATCTAGATAAGTTGCTTCAAATTTGTCTTACAATGCTTTTTTGTTATCTTTAAAATAAAGCATAGGCAAACTAGTTTAAAATTAGTTTCATAAGAACTCATTGTTATGTTTTCTTTATTAGTAAAAAAACTTTCAAATTGTGCATCTTGTATTTTAGAAACTCAAGTTTATATAATTTTTGGTTTTTGAATAATTGAACAACTGGACTCATAGGGGTGTGGCGACCTAGTGAAATGGTCAGGTTGTCAACCTCCCAAGTGGTAGGTTGGGTGTTCAAATCCCATCGACAGCGAAAATTTGGATAATCACCT